GGTGGGTCTGTTGTGGTCCCATGGCCCAACTGGCAGTGTTCCATCTGTGGGGGCATCCTCACATTCTTCCCACATGGTCCTGCAGCCTCCCCAGCAGTGTTTGCACCTGTTTTAGTACCTCCTCCTCATCCACACCGTGGAAGGCCTCGCTGGGGATGGTGGGGAAGGGGTGGTAACCTGGGTATTGTGTGGCCTTGCCATTGATGCCACAGCGACACAACCACTCTACCTCCTCTGCCAGGCCCCTCAGCTTTGGCTCCACCACCTCCAGCCATTGGGCCAGCCCCACCAGCCCCATTGAGGCCTCAAAGCCCTCACCATGGCAAAGTATGGCAGCCACCAGTGCCTTCTCCAGGGCTTGGTGAGCCTTGAAGAGGACCCAGTTGGTGCAGTAGTGCCTGACGTCATTGTGGGCTGCCTGCAGGTCACTTTTGGCCTGCTGTAGCCACCGCCGAGCCTCTGGGATGGATGGAGTCAGGGCCATGGCCTCCTTCTTGCACAACCAGGAGCCTTCTTGTCCCCAGCGGTGGTGCTTGGCAGAGCTCAGAGAATTGTGACAATCCTTCCATGGCTTTCCCTCTGCCACAGCCTTCTCCTGCAGCCTCTTCTCCAGCTCTGGCTCCAGCTCTGATGCCATGACCTCCTCTGGCTCTGGTGCAGCACCCACCAGTGCAACATCATTCTCCTCCAGAACAAAGGCCACATCCTGTGGCTTCTGGCAGACCAGCATTTCACGCAGCACTGACAAAGCAGGTGCCTCCAGCTGTCCACCCAGGATGGTATTGATCTCCTGTGCTAGTGTCTCCAGGATCCTTAGCTGGTGCCGGTCCAGCACCAACTCCGCATGCCGGATGTAGAGGAGTCGCAGGGCACCACCAGCTACGCACACATGGATGACCCGTGACTGGGAGCTGCCCTCCACCTTTGCACCAGAGTGAACCAGCACAGTGCATATGTCCTCGCAGCACTTCACTTTCAGCTGCTCCACTGCAAAGCCAGCATCTCCCTCCATTCTCATCATAGCCCTGTGGCTCTGCCACCGGAGCAGGGCCTCCAGCCCCATCCTAAACCACGGTGACACCAGAAGGGTCTGCAGATGCTTCTGCCCAGGGCAGTGAGAACCGTAGCGACACGGCCGCACACTGCCCTCCTCCAGCCGCTGCTCTGTCACCTCTGAGAGGGCCCGTGGCCGCAGGCGCAGGGGTAGCTTTTGCAGCAGCCACTGGGAATTACAGCTGGTCCCTGGCAGTTCAGCCATAAACACAAAGGTCTTCCCCAAGAGCCTAAAGGTATTTGAGGACACACAGTCATTGAAGTACAACCTGTGGGATGGCTCTAGGCAGTCAGCAGTGCTCAGCAAGTACAGCTCAGCCACAGTGGAGAAATCAGGGGGCTCCGATGCCTCCTGCAGTAGCTGGAAGAAGTGTCGCGTGGCCAGCAGGACTGTCTTCTTCTGGATAGTACTGAGGATCCCATTGACATGGCTCTCCTGGTGGATTTGGGCTAGGACATGGCTGTAGTGAGACAGTGTGGGGAGCAGGACCACCCCGAGGTGTTGCAGGAGGTCTCCATAGACAGCTATGTGAGGATCAGGTGTGAGGAGATAGGGGTAAAAATCAGCCTCATCTGGGAGTGCTGTCACCACTTGCCGTGGTGTGGCCATGTCCCCTGACTTGACCAGCACTACGGGCAGCTCAGCGAGGCACCCTGCATCGATGTCCTTCAGATGGTTCTGTAAGAAGTTGTACATCTTCTGGAGCACACTGGCCCGTGTGCTCACCTGCTGCGGCGTCTGGCAGGCTGCCCTGCACACCTGCTTCAAGTTGGCCACCACCAGGGCTGTGGGTATCTCTACAAGGACTCCCACGGCCTTCAGGAGGTCCTGTTTCATTAAAAAGGACTTTGGCAGGATGGTGGCTGATGCCCACAGGAGCTCAGCCACATCTTCTTGGCAGTGGTAAACACTGCCCTTCAGGGCCACGGGCTTAGTACAGGCTGCAAAAGGGAGGTGGAGGTTCACCAAGTTTGGGGGGATGTCCAGTGAAGGCAGGAAGTGGATTGAGGCAATTTGCCCCAGTAAATCCCCTGACAAGGGATTGACCAACATGGTGCCAAGCTGTTTAAGCATCTCCTCCTGTCGTGCCAGCAGGTCTTTAGTGTGGCACCCTGTCTGAGTGGCTTCATGTTCTATCTCCTGGGCCAGCACCACAAAATCTTCCACAGACAGGCTGGTGCGGACACCTGCCTGAAGCAGGAAATCATTCACAGCTTTGCAGTTGTAGCTCTGTAGCTCTGCAAAGAAAAACTTGGGCACAAAGCGGTGTTGGAGCCGCAGAGTGCAGAAGGAGGGCGTGTTTTCATAGTAGTAGGAGGCCAGATGCAGCATACCATTGGCATCAGGTATAAAGGCCACAGTCTGAAAAGCCGCCACAGCAGCTTCCTTGAACTTGGTGTCACAGATGGGTTGCAGGGCAAAGAACAACCGCACAGCTTCCATAAGCTCTTGTGCTGTGAGCTGGGACAGCCGGGGTAGCACCACAGTCATGAAGAGCTGCTGGTCATCTGTGAGCCCCCACTGCAAATCCTTGGCCAGCTCCTGGTGGCTGCTGTCTGCTGTGAGCAGTAACATGTCCTTCTCCAGGCTGTACAGAGATTGGACACCTGGGGGCAGTTTTGGGAACAGGCTGCGGAGCAACAGCACCTTGCGGAAGGGTGCCACAGGTACATAGTCCCCATCATGCTTCTGGAAGAGAGGCAGGATCCGGAGCTGCTGCAGTGCTGATGAATCCAGTTTTCCCTTCACAAAGTACAGCAGGACAGTCACATCGGACTTGTTTAACTCCTTCCAGCGAAGATCAGCTCTGTTGTCCACCAGCTGGGCCAGTACAGCCCTGGGCTCTTTGACCTGCAGTGCCCTTGTTTTCAGGCAGTGGTAGGCAAAGTCAGAAGGCAGCAGGGACTGCTGAAGCACAGGGATGCCGAGTTTGTGCAGCACCTTGTCCACACTCATGTCACACTCAAAAAGAACATTGGGGAGGGAGGATAGTGGCAGTAGGTGCTTCGAGCCTGTCTTACCCCCCTGAACAGGCAGCACCACCAGATCCTGAAGCTGATCCATGAATGACTTCATGTCCGCCTCCAACTTCTCTGTGGCCTTCATGGACGTATAGACCACAGAACTGAAGAACTTCCACAGCTTCTTGAGCCACTTCTCCCCCTGTGTGGTCCAGTTCAGCTGACCTAGTGTCTCCTGGATTAGTGGTGTGGCCTCCAGGAGTCCAAGCTCCTTCACAAAGCGAGGCAGGGTCAAGTCAGAAATGAACTTGTGGGCAAAGTGATGGCAGTGGTGGGGGAAAAGGTGGGCAAAGTTGTTCTGGAAGACTGGGTGGTGGATGCTGAGGACATTCAGGCAGCCATCTTCTGTGGCCAGCAAGGGCAAGCCTTCCAGTTCTGCACTGTCCACGTCTGTGAGCTTCAGGCAGTGTTGCAGCAGGATGGAGCAGTTCTTTGGGGTCTCCAGTGGTGTCTCAGCCAGCAGGCAGGGCACAGGGAGTGCCAAAGCCTTGAGGAAGCGCCGGAGAGAGGCTGGCTCCAAGGCAACAACATCCACATGGGCTTCAGTGAACTCCTCACAGATCTGCCGCAGGTAGCAGAATGCTGGCACCAGCTTCATGTTCAGGCGCTGCAGCACCACCTGGAGAGCTGGCTCAGGCATCTCCTGGAGGAAGTATGGCTCTGTTAGCACATCCCCACCACCTGGACATGCCCAGGTTATTGTCACCATTCTGTCAGGTGGCTTCACATGGTACACAGGCACCAAGGGCAGGCGTGCATGACTGATGTGCCTATAGACAGCTCTCACCAGGTCCTGAAAGGTGCGTTGCACCTTTGTTGCAGCAGGGAAGAACTGGAGGTAGCGGGAGGCCAGGTGCTGCTGGCAGGCATTCAGGGTCTCGAACTGGAGCTCTTCACGCCTCAGGGCTTTCCACTGCCTGGTGAGAAAGGCACAGTAGAGTGGAACTAGCAAGTACTGGAGCAAGAAGCCATTCCAGGCTGCCTCTGTGCTGCCTGCGTCCTGGCGGAGATTGCGTCTGGCTGCATCCACAGAGAAGTTGGCATTGATGTGCACAGGCAGCCCTGTGGTCAGCGGCAGCGGGAGAGTGCAGAAAGCTTTGCCCATGACTTTGTTGAAGTGAAATTGCTTCAGGCAGGCAGCCACAGCCCCATAGGGCAGCCGCTCAGGAACCGGAGACTTGTCAGCCCCCTGATGCACCCCAATTTGGGAGATCACCCTCCATACGGTGCTGGTCCTGGCCTTGCTGGTTTTGACTGTCAAGCTATATGAGACAGAGGTGGGGCTGTTCCCATCCATGGCTTGGCTCAGTCTCGCCTGAAAACCCCGTCTCAGCTCTGCATCACTGTCCGTCAGCTCTGTGGTCACTCGCAGCTTCTCCAACATCTGCTCCCTGCCTGGGGGGATCTCGGAGAAAACCACAGTGCGGACGTGCCGGAGGAAGAGCACCAAGTCCTCACCTCCCTCAGCCAGTACTCTCTCCATGTCCATGAGGTCTTGGTCTCGCACGACCAAGTCAGACACCCTGGAGAAGGCAGCCTCAGCTGCAGTGCGGAGGGGCAGCCGGAAAAGGACACCCTGGTTTAGGTTGAAGAAGGAAGGTAGGAAGGTGCCATAAATGTCTGGAAAGGTCTTCTTGAATTCAGGGTTGACAGCGAACATCCCACCAGGACTCTCAGCTGTGGCTCCGGGCACGTAGTAGAGATGGGGATCAAAGACACACAGGGCACTGTCTCCAGTGAGGAAGGCTGGGCAGTTAGTAAAGTGGAAGACAGTGTTGAAGCCAAGGCCAAATTTGCCTGTGACATCCTGCCGACCTTGTTTGCCACCCACTCCCAGACGCTGAATGCCTTCAATGTCCTGCTGCTGGAAGGGGCTGTCATTGTAGATGCAGAGGGCAGGGCCCTGCAGGAAGTTCCAGTTCTCACTGAAAGTGGCATCTGTGGGGTGCTGCTGGCGGTCCCACACAAAGTGCACCAGCCCTGCACCAGCATCATCTGCATTCTGGAGCAACTCTGTCACTATATCACGAGCGGATACTGGGTACTCACCCAAGATATTCTTTAGCCTTGTAGGCAAGTCTTCATGGGCACCAAACGGCTGCGCCCAGAGGCTCAGATCTGCGGTGAGCAGTCGGCTTCTCTCCAGTGCCCAGTGGCGTGTGGTAGGCACCCTACAGTGCAGGGCTGTGGCTCGGGACAGCTGTTCATGGCACAGATGGACATCTCTGTCCACTGGCATCCATGGTGTATCATTAAAGTGGAGCTTGTCCCGTGGACGCAAAATGCCCTCCTGGTCAGGTAGAAAGAGCTGCTGGGTCTGGTAAGCATTTGGCTCTTTGTCATCTGCCATCAAGCCACAGGACACCAGCCGCAAGGCCAGAGTCAGCTCCGTGGCAGGCAGTGGCTCTCCAGCATGCAGCTCTGCCAAGCTGCAGAGCACTTGGGCATAATCATCCCAGGTGAATGTGCTACGTAGCCCCACACACTCCCAGAGTTGGCTGTAGGGCTGGTACTGCTCTGGGAGCTGGTGAAGATATGGAACAGCCTCAAACAACAGCGTCTTAGCCACAGCCATGACCGGCACAAAGCGGGAGCCCACCAAGATGAAGGGGTTCCTTTGGGCTACTGCAGAAGCCACCTCACCCCAGCTGGAGTGGTCTCTCTGGAGCAGGTTGTTCAAGTACTTGTAGCAGCAGTGGGTGCTGTCTCTCAGGTCTTCCAAAGCGAGACGGTTGGAGCTACAGGTCAGTGCCTGCAACTGCTCAAGGACTGTAGCTGCTGGTAGCTGCCGGTCTAGCCCCAAGAAGGATGCAACCTCCTTGGCGAGTCTGAAGTTTTCCCCCAGCAGTTTAGGAGCCAAGATAGGGTGGATGAGCCCCAATAGCGGGGCATTGGCGTGATGGTAGAGCTGGGCAGCTGGAAACAGCACGTGTTCTCCAGTGGGCAGTGTACCAGGAAGGAAGGGCACAGTCTGGAAAGCTGCCTGCATGGTGTTGTTCACCCTCTTCTCCACTGCATCCTGAAGGAGCTCAAGGATGCAGGCAGCCCTTCGGCAGGCCTGAGCATGGTCCTTGGTCCAGATAAGCTGCACTGTCTTTGTCCGCTCCAGCAGTTCTGGCAGGGTCATTGTGTCCTTAATCATGCCAAGTCTCTCCAGTTGGCTTAGTCGTTCTGGGGAGAGGAAGGCGTCCCCACTGGGGAAGTGCCCATCCTCAGGGTCATATAAAGAGGCAGTGCGGCCTCTGGGATGCACCAGGCAATTGATGAGCTGCAGGCGACCATGAGGGGTGACAGGAATGCAGGGCACTGTCTGCAGCACTTTGTCCACATCATCATGGGACATATCCAATGCATGGAGAATCAGCGGGTCCCGGTCAACAACAGAGAGGTCTTTCAAGTTGGGAAGCACAAGCTCACAGTAAAAGCGGGGCCAGTCATAGGTGCCAGCATCCACTGCCTTCCCGAGGCCCCTCTGCACGTGTTCTGGCAAGGTCACAGCTAACAGGGGATGAGGCAGGGCGGTGGCAAAGACACGCTTTGCCGTGGCACCCAGCTTGGGATGTCTGACCACATCCTGGTGCAGAAAGCGGGCATCCTGCAGTGAGCACCACGAGCAGCCATCAGAAAAGAGCTTGGGGCCATTCCTGGCTGCCACAGAGTGGTAGAAGCCAGTCACAGCCTCCGTAAAGGGGTAACGTGCAGTGTTGGTGTCCGGCCAGAAAACATGATATTCATAGCTCTTCAATTCACCTGCCTCATGCATGGCACGGAGGTGATCCAGCGCCCGAAGCCAGGCAGCTGGCACGGCATTGCGAAGCAGCATCCGGTTCCACTTACCCTGCTCTGATGTGTCCCACAGCCCCTTGCGGTTTGAGAGAATGCTGAAGGCCCCGTGCACGTGGATTGGCAGCCCTGAGGCCACTGGCATGGGAAGGTGGCAGAAGACTTTCCCCTCCTCGGCACCTAGACGCGGCACCCACTTGCCATCTGCAGTAAGGGCAAGGGGAAGGGCCACACCAGCCATGGGAGGTGGAGGATGGAGCCCTGCCTGTGTGTTCTGGTGAAACAGTTCCAGCAACTCCCCATCACCTTGACACACCAAAACTAGGTAGTGCCTCGTGGTCTTGGATGCCTCCTCGCAGGCTGTGAGCTGCTCGATGGCTGCCCAGCTTGGGGGGTCTCCAGGGGACCCCAGGTCTCGTATCTCCTTTTGTCGCAGTATAGCCAGAGGCACGGTATCCTCCGCAGAGGTGGCCGTGTCTGGCAGCATCTCCAGGGACATCTCCTTCACCTTCCGTAGGAAGAGAAGCAGGAGCTGGTTAGAGCCAAGGAAGCTGGTGCCAAGGGACTGGATGCGCTCTGTACCAAAGGCCTCTGAGCAAATCTGTGATTTCACAGCTTCCTCTTCAGTGCGAAAAGGCAGGCGGAAAAGGCTCCCTGGAAAGGGTCCTGGCTCAGGGAGGCGGCACCCAAAGATACCATGGTAGGGCCAGAATTGCTCAGCAAAGGCACGGAGAATGCGTGGTCGGCTGGAGAAGTCCAGGCGGATGCCAGGGCAGCCAGCCCTGGGGATGTGCTTGCCCAGATGGGTGCCGTTGGGATCAAAGATGAGCAGTGTCTCCCCAGTCAGCACCGCTGGCACATCTGTGACACGGTAGACAGAGCTGAAGCCCAGCCCAAAGCGCCCGATCCGGCCTGCTTGGCCCTCCTTCGTAGCAGCCCCAACCCGTGTGATGTTACGGAGGTCATCCTCTGTGAACAGGGCGTTGTTGTAGGCCCAGAGGGCAGGGCCATGGCAGGCAATCATGTTGGGGTCCAGCAGCCCTGAGGTGGCCTCTCTGCGGTGTCGGAGGTCCAGGAGGAAACGGCACACAGTAGCTTCAGCATCCTCCGCATTCTGGACCATCTCTGTGAAGAGGTCGCCCTCCTCGCCATACTCCCGGAGGATGTTGCGGAGCCGTAAGGTGATGGGCTCCGAGGGGCCACAAGCCACGAACGGCTCTGGCCCCAATACCCGTGTGCTGAGCAGCTCCGTGCCAAGGAATATGGCTGTGCTGGATGGCATTGCCTCATGCACCACCTCCTGAACATCCTCCTCTGCCTCCAGCTCCATGTCCAGGTACACAGTAGAGGCAGCCGGGTGGAGGACAAAGCCCGAGCCATCCAGGATCCTCACAGGAACCGGCACCGTGCCATTGCCCTGGTGCCCCCGACTCTTCAGCCACTCCAGGACAGCTACAGCCACCTGCAGCTCTGCTGCAGTGCCAGCTCTGGAGCTGCGCGTGTCTATGTCCTGCCCCAGGCAGCACAGGGCTGCAACTGCCCTCTCCTCACTCACCTTCGCCTCCACCCCCCAAGCCCTGAAGAGGCAGCTGTAGGACAGGAAGGCAGGGGGCACCCGGGGCACCAGCATTGCCAGCTCCACCTCCAGCTCCTCAGGATAGCCCAGCACGGCATCACACGGCAGAACAAACCCAGCCCCAGTCCACACCACAGCATCGGCTGGGACAGCCCCAAAGGTCTGCAGGTTTTCCTGCATGTGCTGGTAGACAGGCCGGAGTGCGGTACCTACCTCACCCATGTCCCTGCTCCGTGCCAGATGCCTCAGCTGCTCCCACACTTTCTCTGGCGGGGGGATCTGGCTCAGCCCCAGTTTCTGCTCTGCCTCTGGCACAAAGGCGCTGGTCAGGTGCATGACAAGCCCCACCAGCGGCTGGAACTGGATGGATCGCAGCTCCTTAGGGGGCAGGAAGAGCTGCCCAGGCTTTCCAGTGCACTTGGAACGAGGAACCCATGGCAGGGCCTGGAGCTGCCTAAGCTTTGCAGTGCTGAAGCCAGCCAGTGCGTTGGGGCGGGTGCAGACCTTGATCACTGCCTGAGCCTTGTCCTGAGCCGCTGCGTCACCCCGACTCACACTTGCTGCAGCCTCCAGGATGTCTGAAGGCACCAGGCACCCCTCACCGTGCCGCAAGCCCAGGGATCTCAAGGCATGGACGACAGGCGGGCTGCAGAAGGTGGCAGGGGGAAAGCGCTCAGGGCCCAGCAGTGCCCGCAAGGTGCTCTCACAGGGGTCGTAAAGGTCTCCTGGGCACGCGGGGCCATTGGGGGTCTCCAGGAAGGCCAGCTTGCTGCAGGCCTGCTGCAGTGGAGGGCTCTGTGCAAAGAGGATATCTCCGTGCTGCAGCACCCAGAGCAGCAGAGCCTGCGTCTCGGCTGCCCGCCCTGCATAGGCACCCTGGGCCACGGCTCTGACGGCCTCCAACATCGCCTGGGCTGTACTGGTGAGGGGCCTCTGAAGCCTCCCCAGGAGTCGTCGGTCAGCTTCATCCCGGCACCGCAACATGGCCTCTGGCAGCACCACATCTCTGGGCAGCTCCAGCTCTGGCACCAGTGCTGGAGTGTCACCGGCCGGTAGCAGCTTCGTGGGCTGCGGGTTGGCCAAGCAGGGCAGTGCGATGAAGAGGGGCAGAGCAGCCAGCGTGACCCTGTCCTGCTTTGTCAGGGATGGGATGTCTGCGAGGTAGAGCCGAAGAGTGGCCACATCCCCAGCA